GCTTTATTTGATATAACATCCGAATTGCGCAACTAAATTGGGACATTATTAGTCAATGAACTTTGGTTAATTCGTATTGGAATAATAATGTTATAAAGGGTGATATTTTTTGGCTTGACATTAACATATAACGTAATATAGACAGTTTTGGCCGAGATCCCTGTGATTTTCCTTCTAAATTAAGTAATACATCTATATAGCAAAAAAATTTTGTAGTGACAATTGAGCATCAAACGTTAAGTACCCCGTTCTGCCCTGATGCCTTCCCCTACTTCGTTTTAAAGTAAATCCCTACTACGGAGAATATACTAAGAATTGTATTTGTATGTAGCAGGTACCTACTACAGGTTTATTCATATGCCACCCAAAATCTAACTCAAGAAAAGCAAAAATCGTATCCCGGCGGCAACGCGAGTCTTGGGATTAAAAAAAAAATTAAATCGATAAAAATATTTGAGCAAAATTTATACTATCGGAGAATGAGGCGAAGGTCTTTTTTATTAGAAAACTCGAGAAGTTGACGGGATAGACTATAATGTGACGTTTGTACCTAATCGGAAAACAAGGCAATAATAAAGAAAAAGATAATACCAACGATACGTAGGTACCTATATATAAAAACCGCAACAACGGAGACTGAAAACAAGCTTGTGACTTTGTGACTGGCCCAGGTCTACAAAACTGAGGCCAGTGTACCTAGGATATACCTCTACCAAAATTCAAAACCAATCGTCCTTATTTTTATTAGATACCTACCTAATAATTTTTATATATTCTAAATAGGTGATCAATTAACTTAAGTTTAAGTAGTTTACTTACACCCTATTATGAGTTTAATTCCAATAAAATAGAGAGATATTGCAAGTGCTTGTCTTATTAAGGCAAGCCTTTGAAGCCTTATTTCGACAGCTGAGCATGCGCAGTTTCCGTTTGCAATAAGGACAGCCTTATAAGGATCTGCCTTATTTGGCTTATTTAGGAGAAAATAAGACCTGCCTTATCTTTGCCTTATTTAAAAGTTCTTAGTCGATCGGCGATGATCGGTAGGAATCGCGAATTGAGTTTTATTATGTGTGTGTGTGTGTGTATAATTATAGATTTTAGATTCATGACAACAAATTTTGACTTTTCTTGATTTTTTTTTTCCAAACTTTGAGAAATGGGGCAAAATCAAAACAGCATCGAGGCACAGAAAAGAGGCAGAATAAAGGTTTGTTTGTTTGTGTCGCACTAACTTGAACTAAGCTGTAATATCTCAGCCCCAAGCAGGAAGTGCTGCTCCGAACAACACAAACAAACAACCTCAAGGTTTACGTATAACGATGAACTGGTATTGCTTAGAGAATTTGTGTCATTTTCCTGCCACTATTCTACGATTTTACACATGTACCTACTATATAAATATTTTGAACAAATAATTTCTTATTTCCAAAATATCTAAGCATATGTTCTACATCAGAAAGAAAACACTTCAAGTTCAAAACTTAAAAAATAAACATTAACAAAAATTCAAGATTTTCAGGTTAGAAAAAAGGCATCAACTCCCAGTCGTTCCTAAAAATTTGCAATATCTTAACTTGTCATTCGAAGTAAGGAAATGACCTATATCTTGTCTAAATCCTTATTAAGGCTGATTTGCAATATCTCTCTAATATATCGTCAGAATCAGAAAGAAAACCATCAGTGCAATAAAACCCATTTCGAGTTAAAATAAGATTTATTCAATATAGATATTGACTCAATATTCACTCATAAAGGTTTTTTTAAACAGTGTAGGAGATCACACTCAACCAAATAGTAGCATAAATAAAAAGAAGTTGTTCTTAGATTTAATGAACAATTCATTAAAATCGGTCCAAAGAACGGTTTCTTTGATTACATGAACTCTAGGTTATTGAAGTATGAACAATTTCTTAATTCCTATTTCGATTCATCTTGTGTATGAACAACGAACATTAAGGTATGTAGTAAGGTTTTTGTATTAATGAAACTTTTCATAGTAACAATAAACATCGTTCTTAGTTTATATGTACTTTTTCATTGTCCTGATGAACAGACGGCATAATATTAATGAAGCCCAGATATAATTTGATGAAACCCTTTCATTGTATTTATGAATCACAGTCTTGAATACTAAGAATTGCATTCATTATATTTAATAATGACGTTTTCAATAATATATACCATATTCTTTATTTTTATTAAAATAATTTCATGAATTATGCCTTAAATATACTTATGATTTTAAATGGGGTAAAGGGTCATTTTTTATATTTGCGTGTCCCCTGTCCTGATGAATATGAGCAATAGGAAAAAAGCTTTTAATGCAAAAGTTGCATGGTTTCTTCGTATCATTCCAGAATTGTCAAACAAACCAATGGGCATCCCAAAATCTGAAAATTTAAAAATCTAAGTACCTACTTATGTATTTTTATTTTAAATGACACTAACCGTATATTCTATTATCTTTCAAATCCTCCTTAAATCCTGTTTCCATAAATATATATTATATCTATATTTGTTCCAGCTGTTTTTGAACTATCAACATCCAAAGTTTCTAAAACAAGCCACATCAGAAAATAAGATTTGATGCTTTGGCTGGTTTCCTTGCTTCGGCTATGAAACACTAGCTGCGGTATTGAATCTTCTGCTTTTCTACCTAGTGAAACAAAACCATTTAACAAAAATATATCGATTAAAATTGATTTGGGATTGAGTATACTTACTTTTAGAGACTTCAGTATTCCTTAGAAATTCTGAGGAGCTCTTGACGCTTTTGTCTTTCACGTTCTCCCCGGATGACATTTAAATCTGTAGGTCATTTCTTTCGCATTCCCATTTTGAGACTAGACCATCTCCGTGCAAGGCATCCAAGTCCTACCTACATAATAGGTATACATATTATAGAGGTAATAGAGGTATACAACTTACCTTTAGAAAAAACCGGCGACAGGTATAATCGACTTTCTATTTAACACTTCGAACAACACAAAACCGAAAAAACCGACTTGAACGAAGTACGTAGCAGTGCACCCAGAAAATAGAAATGTAATTATTCCTATTTCAACATATTTTTCTATGCTATGTCGTTGCCCGACTGCAGCTACCTTTGCGCATGTGCTTAGGAACTGTCTACATTAATGCTATGAACTGTTTCATTGTATTTATGATTTATCTTGATGTAATGGTTGCAGCTTTGTTTCTAGGAATACTTGCTTGTTTTAAATGAACCGTACATTGTATCAATGAATTTCGTTCTTAAAAGGATAATTTTCTAGTAAGGTCATATGAACCATATTCATATTATTCATGTTAATATTCATTTATATTATGAATATTCCGTGGAAGCTCCCATCAAAGAAATTTTCTTTAATATCAAGTTTTAATTTCATAATATCAATGAACTTAGTTCTTGTAACCGATGCACTATTCAACATAGATTCATGTAGATGACTATTCATAACTTGATGAAGCTTCATTCTTTATTTTAATGATAGCTGTTCATGAAATCATAATACTTACAGTTTTCTGTACCTGGGATTAATGAAAATTTCACTGAATCAATGAAAATGTAATTTATGAAAGCAGTTCATTGATATTATGATCAAGATTTTTTTGAGTGCAGGCGTCAGTTTATCTATGAAAAAAAATAAATAAAAATGCCTGACTTCTCTACCTATTACCTACCTAATGTCATAAATTAAGCAAGTTATTGAACAGACAAAGAGCAACACGTTCATCGCAGTAGGTACTTACCTACAATAGTAATCAATTGGTTCAGCAAGAAAAAAGCGCAACTTTTATTGAGATACCTGCTGAATTCGAATATATCTATTAGCCTCAAAATGAACATGGCATATAGGTACCATCTAATAATTATTGAGTGAACATGAATATATCGTGTGCTATAAAAAATGCATCATGTCACGAAACCTCCAGAGAATAGACATCGGCATCCTAACATAAGATAACTAAATTCAACTTTAATTAAGATTAATGATATGCAGAGTAGTTCTATCTTCCGTTTGGAGGCCGCCACTGTCTCTCCCCTCCATTAACATTATCTATGGCCTTTAGACCGCATGTTCTCGGTTTGTTGCACAATATCCAAGCTAATGATATGATGCAAATAAAATGGTATTCCTATTACTATACCTATAAAGGTATCTATGTTGACGGTCTGTATAGGTAAATAGATACTCAGCTTATTTGTCGTTAATATATTTCTAGAAAGACATTCTAGAAACATATTTATTTTAACTAGGTACCTATTCGTTACAAATTCAGTTTGGGTAGGTATAAACAATGAATTCGAATAAAAGGTAGGTATATAGGTAATACCTATTAAACTGAAAAGATATCTAATAAATAACGAATTTCAAAATATGTAGGTATGCATATAAATTCCCTATTATTAGATAATGATTTTTAAAATATTCCAAATCCTTAAAATAATATCTAAGTATCCTTCCAAAGAATTTAATAATTTCTCTAAGAGTCGATAAAGTTACATATTATTATGTAGAGCTATTAAAACGAGTGACTGCGCTAGAACGTTCTATAAAGAGAGCAAACTCAACGACGAAAAGGAGCACTTGCCAAAGATTTTCTTTAATCAGAGCTTTTAAGGGGAGTATAGTGGAGCTGAATTCCACCGCGAATATGCTTATACCTACTAGTAAGATACAGATTGAGTGCTCCCTATACCAGAATGAAAGGGACTCGAAAATTCGGAGGGGGAAGGGCGTGCTCGCAGCCAATGCCGGGCGTTTCCACCATACAACGTCCACGCCAATCACGATATGCGCCGCAGCGTGGCGTTCCTCCTTTCCGCCAATGAAAAAAGCATTAATCTCTTTTAAAAATAGAGCATAGTGCAACCACGCAACGACGCGACACGCACCGAATCGCTAACTGCCATAGAAGCTACCGTAATGAGCTTCACAGTAGCACATATTTAACATGCAGTTCACTCTATAGACATCCCCACCGCTGCTGCCCGCAATTCACCTTGCCACCGCCCACTTAAAACTCACCTCGGCGAGTGCATAGTTTCCTTACCAGTCTGTCCTCAGTTCATTGTCAACCAACTGTCCACTGATTCTCGAGTTTGCTTCAGAATAAACATGTTCAGATCATCATCATCATCCTCATCATCGTGAAAGTGGTGTATAATGTGCGTGCAGTGATTTCGTGTCGCGTTATTAAAAGGACACTATAGGACAATAAAAGACGCGGCTAGCTCGCGTCAATAATATTAACCACGGCGTCTCCAGTTGCAATGACGCAACATAGCGACGCTTCTAGCGACCGTTCTGAGGTGTCAGTTACACCACCACCTCCAGTTTCGAAAATGTTGGAATTCGCTAGTCACCAAAACCTGAGCCTTTTTAATTTGGAGCATCGGAATATGTTGGCGGCACCTTTAGCGGCGTTACATTCAATGGCCGAAATGAAGCAACATCAAAACCATCTGAGTCCTCCTGATCACCTTCATGGCCACGACAAAAGTGAAACTGATCTACTCTTGGAGAGAACTAGCCTGCATATGGAAAGAGCAGGTCTGACATCGCGAAGTCCGCTTGGAGCGACAAGCAATAGCAATAGCTCACAAGGAGCCAATCCCCATGGCATAGATCACATACTCTCAAGACCTTCACAAATAACCACTGGGCCTTTACATTTTCCGCATAATTTAGGATTTACACAAAATTCTTTGGGAATGACTGCAAATAGTGCTCAAAATGCAGCGAATCCTGGTTTGAGGGGTTTCAATATTGCCGCTGCTGCCTTTTTCCATCATCATGCTGCAAACTCAGTTAATAAACCTCCAGTTGAACTGGGGAGAACTGCCGGTGGACTTTATTGGCCTGGAATTCAAAGTCTCAATCCTATTGCCTGGAGAGACCGACTTGGTAGCAGTAAGTATTATGTTTTGTTTTATATTTTTTAAACTACGTACTACCTACCTACCACCAACGAGCAACTTCATACCTAGTATGGTATAATACTTACTTACATCACGAAAGAAATATAATAGTTAGGTAGATATGATATACTATTCCTTACCAAACTTATTGAAGGATAGCAAAGATGCTTTGAAATTCAAAAATGACAGTATTTAGGACCATAATGTATAATTTTTTTATCAGGTTTATTTAAGTCTCAAAATTATGCCGTTAATATTTTTCATTTCTTAATACCTATTATCTGAAGTTTCAATATCAATTTGTCTCTTTGTCAATGGATAATAGTTATTACAGCAGAGTACCTATAAGTACAAGGCTGTCGAAACGCCTGTGGGAAGAATATTTTTTGGGTAAACATTTAGAATTTAATTAGGTATACCTACATCTTGATATATAATTTTTGTTGAATAATTCATCTTTTTAATCTAAAATTGGGATTGATCCAAAACTAATAACCAATAGACCGCTAGGTATTATTATTTTCTTTCAGAAATGTCGTAACAGTGTGTTAGTATTTTATTTTATCGTCTGGTATTAACACCTGATATGTATAATTTTTTAGTTAACAATGATGGTGGCAAGTCCCAGATTTCTTTGAAAATTCAAGTAAGAAGGTAGTACCTAAGTATGTCAAAATTTAAATTGCCGTTGGTCGGTGGGAACTAGCTTTGTAGGTACTTTTCCGGTGACTATTTTCACAGGGTGTCTTACATTAGATGAATTAGGTAGGTACCTAATCTACGCTAAAAAAAAATTGTTTGGATGGCAAACATTGCGAAAATTTATCTAAATGACTAACAACATTTAGTTTCTGCGGCAACAAAGTTCACAACTAACTCTCAGTTAAAGTTATGTTAAACTAAAATGATTCAATTCAAAAGTTACCTCTCATAGGTCTATACATTATTTCGCAGCTGTTGGCAAATACCGCCGGCAATAAAAAAAAGTTGTTGGGAACCTCTCTTTTTTATTCCAGTGAGGTTCTGCAGAAACTCAAAAATTTCGCCGAAAAATATTTTTTCATTAGGTACCTATACTTAAGTAATTTGCGAAAAAAATCCGATTGCATTTTTTCGGTTGAAACTGTCAAGTTTGATGGCAATACGCAATACTTCATAAATATGGGATCCAAACATATTGTCTATCCTTGATTTGTACACTAAAAAAGCAAAACAAATCGGCTTTGAAAAATTTTACCTTAATGGTAAATTATTGGATTTTTTATAAAAAAATTGGTGATATAGGTACCTACAGTGTTTCCCAAATTGATGGGGAATGTATTGGGATATAGGAAACTATAACAGATACCAGGCAGGTTGAATGGGAAAAGTTTTAGACAATTAAGTATATTAGACGTTTACTAGCGTTTGCAGATTGAGTCTAGCTATTCACATTTTTGAGATATTTAGAAAAAACTGAAAAGTTGTTTTTCTGAAAATAGGCTGTATACCTACCTACCTAAATCTTTTATATTTGAAAATCTCTCACATCTGTAAAAAACACTTTCAAATCAACTCTTTGTGCAGAATACGCATGTGCGATTAGATTTTTTTGACACGTTTCGGTTTTCTGGAACCATCATCAACTTCATTATTTTTTATGGCCGCCATATTGGATTTTTACACCATAAAATAAAGTGAATAATACAAAATCAATGATAATACATTTGACCAAAATAATTACTTTGGCCATAGAAATACGTTTTTATGTTTCGATCAACTTGGCAACATCGCATTACAGAATATTTAGTTCAAGAAATTAAATTAATTTTTATTTTTTTTTTACGGATATGCGCACTCGCAAGGAAATGTCCTATCACGCTCGAGAAGCGGCAAGTGCGCGGAAATGTCGGTGTATGTTGGTCTTGAAACGGTTCAGGTTGTAACTTGCAGGGAAAACCGTCGCTGGGAGTTTATTCCACAGCGATGCTGTTCTCCAGAGATATGAATTCTGATATAATGAGGTTCTTGGTGCCTCTAGTTTGACAGTGAATTCATGGTTACCGTCTGTTTGACGGGTTCGCCTGGTAGGTGCTACTCTCGGTGGAATCATACGTGCCAACTCTTCAGAGCATTTTCCGTGATAGTACCTGTAGAAGAGAGATAAATCGCCCACAGATCTGCGATGTTCGAGACCATCCAAGTTACGAGTAAGTGCGGGGTCATTGATCAGCTTGATAGCTCGTTTTTGCACGGTGTTCAAAAGCATTAAGGTATGTTTATATTTATAAATACAAATGAAACCAATAAAAATCTAAAGGAGTGATGTCAGGAGACCGAGCTGGCCAAGGAACTGGACCGCCATTAGCAATTCTCTCTCTATCTATCATGAAAAAAATCTTGAATTTCTTGGGTATTATGAGCATCAGAGCAACCGAACCGTCTTGTTGTAACCAAGCCATATCGATCTGCGCTTCAGGCAGGCGTCATGCTGGCGATGCTGCTATATTGAACAAAATTTTAATGAAAATGCGTCATCTTCGACCCGAGAAGCTGTTAGAAAACTTCACATACCCAAGTCAACCATTCATAGAGTTTTGAAGCAACATAAAATATCTATCACCCGTATAAACCGACCACAGTGCAGATGCAGGGCCGAGGAGATGACTATCTAAGGAGGATAGAGGCTCGAGTTTTGTAACTGGTACCTACATTAATTAAGGCAACGCACGTCCAGCTTTTTCAAATTACCTATGTTGTATGTATGGTCCGATAAGAGTAGATTTAGTAATTGTGGAGCATTCAATCGTCAGAATTCACAATTTCCACTTTTGGTCAACAGAAAATTCAGAATTGAGAGCTGAGCGAAGAGCGAAGACCGAAGGTTGCAATTTCGTTTCGGGTTTAATGTGTGGTGCGGCATTATTGGGATCTGTGTTATTGGTATTTTAGACGCATCGTATTTTTTTCTATGCATTTTTGTTTTTATTTTTTTAGGATCCCTGTATGGAGTGGTTCTAATAAGACGGTTGCTATGGTCATAATACCCGAGAAGTTCAGGAATGTTTGCATGATCATGATACATTTAGAGAGAGGGTAATTGCTAGTCCCGGCCCAGTTTTTGGCTAGCTCGGTCTCCTGACATCACTTCTTCGGATTTCTATTGTTTTCATTTGTATTTATAAATTAATTCACTTCCTAAATATCCTGTAATGCGACGTTGCCAAGTTGATCAAAACATAAAAACGTATTTTCTATGGCCAAAGTTATTTATTTTTGTCAAGTGTATTATATCATTAATTTTGTATTTTTTCACTCTATCTTATGGTATAAAAATCCAATATGGCGGCTATAAGAAATAATGAAGTTGATGATGGTTCAAGTAAACCGAAACATGCTGAAAAAAATCTAATCGCACATGCGTATTCTAAGGAAAGTGTTTTTTACATATTTAAGAAATTTTCAAAAATAAAAGATTTACAGCCTATTTTCAAAAAAAAACAACTTTTCAGTTTTTTCTAAATATCTCAATAATGTGAATAGCTAGACTCAATCTGCAAACGCTATTAAACGTCTAACATAATTTTCTAAAACTTTTCCCATTTAATCTCCCTCGTTATCTGTTATAATTTACCCACCAATTTGGGACACACTGTATAGGGATCAGTGAAGAAAAAGAGGATACCCTCTTTGTAACAATTTTTTTACTGGTGGGGTGGGAATTGCACTCTTAGATTGTGTGTTCTTAAATTTTTGAGTTCTCATAATTATTCAGCCAATTTAGGTACCTTAGATACACAATCAAGTTCTTAAGGCCGTTTTTGTGGATTTTATGGCAATCAGGTCGCTGATGGGTCTTTATCAAATGCCACTTTGATACTACGCATGCTCACAATAAAAAGCAACTCGGAAAAAGTGACAAAACAGGAAGTATATAATCTCCTTATTTTGTCACTTTCCATAGCTAACCTAATTATAACTCATTGAAGATAAGCATGTTGCTAATGCGCATTGTTATTTAAATGAAAAATATGTAACTTCAATAACTTCATTATTATAAGTAGGTAGGTAATAGGTAGGAGGAGACGGAGGGTTCATTAACAACGCAATCAATATACATATTTATGTCGTAGCCACATTGTGAATTTCACCATTTTATGCAACAGCTACCCACTTTATAAACCGCGGGCCGCGGCCACATTGTAAAATAATTGTTTTTTTTTTGCCTTATTTTGTAATATGGCTAATGATTTTAGCCATTTTATGAACTGGCTGATCAAGTAAGTACGAGCCATATTCTTGAACAGGAATATACAGGGTGTCCCACTAAGGTCGGCAAGGTACGATATTATGGAAACCATGGACCTCACGGCTTCGAGACTTTTTTTTCTTCACAAATCGGCCAAGAGAAATTGATGGAAATTATTTTCAAGTTTCTAAGATGACCGCTAGGGGGCGATGATATAACTAAAAATTCAAATTCTCTCAAGAAATCGCTATATTGAGATACTGGTTTAACAACAGAAATCAAAAGTTCATTAATTTTTCCGCCAGTTTGGTCATTAGGCTTTTTTCGTATCTTCACTAATAAGGGTGGGGGGAGCTGGTGAAAGAAAAGCTTTAAAAATTGGGTATCTTCCATACCCCTTATCCAAACTCATTCAATTTGGGCTCATTTGAAAGAGAATTTCATTGTTGTTAAGAACATCACTTCGTTTGGGGTCAATAGTTCCCACCGCGTCTTCTGGAGGGCGCTGTTAAACCATGATCCAGTTTTTTCTCATTATCTTGAAAAATCCAAATGGCATATTATTTTTTTATTGCTGTGCTTAAAAAGCAAAAAAAATCTACATTTTGGTGCAAACCGCAATTCAATATCTGCATTCGTTTTCAAGTTATGCAAATAACTGGTTTGCTTAAAGGGGGTGTCCGCCAAAAAAACAACTTCATCTCAAAAAAAAGAGAAAAAAAATCTAAGAATAGCAGTGAAATCCGCACCCCTCTATGACAAATAATACCGCAGATATAGCTCTATGAAGGTACCG